TTTAGTGCTCCCCGCCCTACCCCCGGCTCCTCCCCCCGCCTGCCCCGCGGTGGACTGGCTGTTCTCATGGCGTCGTGGTGGGCCGCCCTCAGCCTCCTTTGCCTGCTGCTGGCCGCCGGTAAGCTTCGCAGGGAGCCTGTGTGTGGCCACAGCTCTTTGGCCAGCTCCATTCGAGTTTTGAGTGAGATTCACTTTTCTGTCATTCTGTGAACTGGGTAATGGGGAATGCCCTTTGACTATTGTAGAAGCACCAAGCGGGGGCTCCAGCTGAGGATCCAGGTGTACAGGTGCTAGGGCAAGTCAGGCCACGAAGGAGGCTCCGCTGAGAGCCCAACCTCGGCTCGGCTCGGCTCGGCTCGGCTCGGCTCGGCTCGGCTCGGCTCGGCCCTCCGCCGCCTCAGCACTCTCCCGCTCATTTAGTGCTCCCCGCCCTACCCCCGGCTCCTCCCCCCGCCTGCCCCGCGGTGGACTGGCTGTTCTCATGGCGTCGTGGTGGGCCGCCCTCAGCCTCCTTTGCCTGCTGCTGGCCGCCGGTAAGCGCGGGGCGGTCGCTGAGGGGCGGGGGGTGTCGGGGTGGTCCCCATCCTCAAGGAGGACGGGCGGACGGGCTCCGGCGGCGCCTTCTGAGGCGGCTTTGGGGTCTCCTGCCGGCCTCCTCCGGGGCTGCGTCCCATCGGAGAGCTCGTTCCAAAGCCCCCGGGCCACATGAGAGTGGGGGAGAGGAGGGATATGGGGACGAATTGGATTCCCTAAGAGAAAAGTTGCGCTGAAAGTGAGGTAAGTTTGTGTTGATACCGGTGTACGTTGTTAGGCAGCAGCGATTAGTGCCTCAGGAATGACTGTGTGGACCCCCCTAATGAGTACTGCCTGCCGGTAAACCCAAGGTAGGACCACTGGAGAAACAATTTACCACAAAGTGGCTCCTGATTGCTCTTGGTGCCTCATTAAAAGCCTTCACCTTTTCATCCACGATGCAGTAAGTTTTAGTCTTTTAGGGCAACGTAATATATAAACTCATTTGATAGTTGAGTTCATATATAGCTATCAGATGCTAACACTGATAATTGGAGGTATTTTTCAGCAGCCCTGTCTATAACTATCTTGTTATTGTGCTTAAAGGATGGGGCATGTGGCCTTCCCAAACGTTGTCATGTGATGGGAAAAAGCAGATGTGGTCGTAGGTGAAGTCTCAGAAAAGGAGAAGCTCTCTCGATATTGTATGCATCAGTGGCATCACTTCTGCTGGATCAGATTCTGCAGAGACGCGGGCAGGAAAGGTCAATGTGATCTTTAGTGGATCTGCAAGAGGACATTTAACTTGGTCAGAGTAATAAAGGGTCACAGTTTGTCTGAGCATGGCAGAAATTATTAGAATTTTCTCTGAAGGTACTTTGAAGCATGAGCACCAGAAACTTGTCTGGAGAACAAGTCATGCGAGGAGAGGCTGAGGGAACTGAGCATGTTTAGTTTGGAGAAGGCTCAGGGGAGACCTCATTGCCCTCTGCAATTACTTGAAAGGAGGGTGTAGGGAGGTGGGTATTGGCCTCTTCTCCCAAGGGAATAATGACGGGACCAGAGGAAATGATCTAAAGTTGCAGCAGGGAAGGTTTAGATTAGATATTAAGAAGAATTACTTTAGTGAGAGGATGGTCAGGCACTGGAACAGCCTGCCCAGGGAGGTGGTGGAGTCACCATCCCTGGAGGTATTTAAAAAATGTGTAGACCTGGCTCTTCAGGGCATGCTCTAGTGCCTGAGATTATTGATTTGGGGGTGGGTGTGGTGTGGTGGGGTGTTGTATTTTGTGGGTTTTTTTTTTGTTGTTTGGTTGTTGTTTTTTTTAAGGTTGGACTCAATGATCTCAGAGGTCCCTTCCAACCATGGTGATTCTGTGAAAAAGGGTTCTTTAAGCTGGCTCACAGTGACAGTGCTACAGCAGTAACTGTGTGCAAGCTGGCCTTGAATAAATGGGCTCAGAAGTTAAAAGTTTTCTTGCTGGAATTTACTAAAAGTTTTCTTACTGGGGAATTTCAGTGGGAATAGTTTAGCTGCTCTGCTCTTGAGGTGGAAGTTGATCAGTTTGATAAAGGGTTGTTGTGGTATTGGTAGTGTGAAATTGCCAGGCTGCTGTTTGCAGAATAAGACAATCCCCTCAGTAGCAGGTACACTGAAACAGGAGGTCACTCCTGCCTCCCTCAGCCTTAGCCCTTGCTTTGTGCTGGGTTGGGTGTGTGTACACTGGACCTTTTCTGAGGTGATTCAAATCTTACCTCACCAAAAAACCTGGCAGCAAACCAACTGGGGGGAAAAAATGTTCCGCAAGGCCTTAAGTGACTGTCTGATCTGCTGGTGAATTGGTTGAGGAAGAGTCTCATGGGTGCCACAGCTGATGGAAGAAGAGGGAAAGAACAAAGTAGAGGAGCCAAATTCTTTGGTTTTGGTGTGCTTGGCTCTTGCCAGCTCAGCTGCGGCACCTGAGAACTGGCCTAGACCTTTGGTTTCCTTTGTTATTTTATTGTGCTGCAGTAGGGCAGTTGTGAGATGGAGAGAGTAGTTTTGTTGGTTGCTCTGTTTCGTTTGTAATTTCACAAGGTATTTTTGGAATTAGTTTAGCTACCTATCATTTCCTTATTGGTGATACAGGGGAGCAGAGAGTTGTCAGGTGACGTTGTTGTCCCAAAGTGGGGTTGTTTACCCAGTGTGCAGATGCCAATATACACGCAGAGTAGAGGCATTATCTATTTATTTGATTTCTGCAGAGATGGGTGCTAGGTGGTAATCCACAAAGTTAGCACGCTGGCCTAAAAACCCTTAGGAGTATTTATATGGTTCAAAACGCAGGAATACACACCTTTAATTATAATCATTGTTAGTATCTTATTTTTACAATTTCTGTTGGTTAGTACAGTCTCTCACTTTCATTTAAAGTTACAAGGTCCTTTAATCAATGTGCACGTGCCCCAGTACCAGGGGGGAGGGGGGTAGTCCAATTCAGTCTCTAATTGAGTTGGTGATCCGGTCTCCCACTGTGACCTTTACCTTTCTTCCAGTTACTGCAAATTTGTGTTGACTTCATGCCTTGTCCAGGAGTTGTCTGGTTTTTAGCCGGTTTCGGTGCCTCTTGTGGGCTGTTCCTTATTATCAGCCTTCTGTTCTTCTTCAAGGGTATATTCATTGGCAAGGCATTTATTGTTTATACCAAGTATCTGGTTTCACAGGGATTTGTGACCTTTTTACAGCTCTTTAGTCTTACCTAGTGAGAGATTCTACCTTGTGAAATGTATTTCACCTTTTTAAAAGCATATTCTACATTCTGAAAGTACATCAATATTACATGTCTGCAGAGGAAAAAAATTGGTGACCAGGCATAAGCATGCATGCGCGTTAGTAGAAGTGCTGGGATATTGGTGTTGATACAGAAGGTCCTCTTTGCCTGTGCTTAATGAACCTCACATTTAACCCTTAGATTGTTGGTTTGGTTTTTTTTTTTTCTTTTTAATGTTGGCTGAAATATTCAGGTATGTCTTGGTGCCAGAGAATCAAGACTGAGTTTTCAAATGGCAAAATCAGTTCAAATACTCCAGGAAATACCCCTCCCTTTTCGTCTGAGGGAAACGTGATTTGTTGTCTTTGCCTCTTATTTGCTTTCTCTGAACAACTACACCTGAAGTAATTTGATTGGATGGAGTCTGGTTTAGGAGCAAACTGTCAGGGTATGATCTTGTTTATGTGATAGGAAGGAAAATGGGAAAGAGGAGCCTGCTGACTGCAGCATTTGTCACTGAAGACTGTTACTTCTGCTAAGGATTCTTCTTGAGAAATGCTTTTTGCTTAAGCTTCAAGAAATATTTGTGACAGTTGGAAGCTTTTAATGTGCCATTCTTACATTGCAGTCATTCAGGCTTGAGAGGGTAGAGAGAGAAAACAGGCAGTACATTAAGGGATGTGTCTGCCCAATGCAATGCTGAAAAGCATGGGATGTCTCCTAAGAAATCCATCCTGGTACACCAACATCTCCATTTTTTCCTTACCATTCTAGCTGCACCGGTTGATGCTTGCAGTGGGAAGATGTCACTTGACGGATTTTGGTCCTAGGAATCACTGTTTTATGACATCTGTTTTATGCCATGGATTAACAGGATTAGAATTTTTTGTGAAGTAAGCAAAGCAACAGGTAGAAACAACTAAGTCAGGTGGAAGTTCAAATCTATCGTCAATGCAGTTATGTTGCATCTTTCACATCAAGTCAAATATCTAGAAAAATTTAACATTTTCTTCTAACTGGTCTTGGGGCTTGTTTTTGAACAGATCTGGCTAGTCATGTTGCTCTTTGAGTCTTTACAGTAGTTTGGTAGCTACTAGCAGAGGTAGTGAGGAGAGTCTCACCAGACAGAGCATCTCAGAAGTATATTTGCGTGCAATTTCATCCTTTATGTATGTGTGAGCGCTTGAGAAGAGCTACCTGACGGAGACGAGATACTTTGTGTGCAAGGAGTAAGTATTTGCCTTTGCTGTACTATGAAGGCAATAATTGATTTTTGTAAAACCTAACCAAAATACTTGAAACGTATTTAAACGTTAACCTAGGTGGGCTGGTCAGTAGGAGAAAGAGACTTTATATGATCCTTTCTTTAGTTACTAACTATTGGATTTTAACTTTTTGCAGTTTTGGGTGAGGAATGTCAGGCATACACTGATCATCTTGGCAAGGCACAACCTGCAAAATCCTGTCCCTACTACTGCTGTGGGAATTGCCTGATTCGATACTGTTGCTCTAACGCGGTCTTAAAATTTGATGAAGAAAAACAACTTCCGTGTGATCTGCTTTATAGAAGGTATGAGGCAAACTGAATGTACACAGCAGGTTATAATACTATCATCAAATGACAAAAATACATGTTTAAAGCGTATTTAATGATTAAAAACTTACAAAGGGACCTTTCAGCTCTCTATCTGGCTCTGTTAGGCATCTGTGTTAATGCTCGTAACTTAACTGTAAGATGGGAGCAATTAAGTGGACAAATTGATGATGAACTGATGTGTGTTTTCTTGAGCATTTTCAAATACTTTTACCCTATTTAATTTTTCTTTGAGGATGACAACATTAATCTCTCTCTTTTTAGTGTCCATTACCTTTCGTAAGGATTTGGAACTTAACCAGGTACTGGAATAAGTCATAAATTCAATTTTTGACATGAATTCTCTTAATACAGGATCTCAAGCAACGAAAATTACATGCAGATTTTTTCGGGCCCTGATGATTACATGACCTCTGTCTCAAACATCGTTAAGGACATACAGTCCTTAAGAGACAACCATCTTTATGTTGATTCCGGCCCCAGGTAAGCCACGCAAAGTCTCAGCTTTTAAAATTATATCTATTCAGAGGTTCTTCATTGTGGAATCGATACATGCCAGCAGCCCTCAAACTCTGTGTATGTGTCAGAATATCTGAAGAAGCAGAGATGGGGTGAAGAGGTTAGATCCTGTTGTTTAGGCCAAAATGATTGATGTATGTCGTACTCCGCGTTCTTGCTGCTGAACGGGAATTAGCACACTTGCTGTGGGCCCTTTGATACTGATGGGTTAAGTCCATAGTAGCTGCTTTTGTTGGAAGCATCTCCTTGCTTTTTAGCATCACTGGCACTTAGAAATGGAAATACCAATTAAAAACCATTTCAGTCTTGGGTGAAATAAATTGGTTTAAGTTCGTGCGTCACATTGGTGATGACAAGAGTCCTGCTGTAGAACGCTTCTGTTTTTCATAGCGTGGAAGACTACGAAGGGAGGAGAAGGGTTAATTCCGAGCTGTGAATATTTGATACATCTGCGCGAGGTTAAATAATTAATCCTCCCGCCACCACGGAGAGGACGGGGAGGGGACTCGAACCCGCGGTAGCCCCCAGCCATGCTACCCGCGCCTTTAAGGGGGCGGGGCGAAGCCCGCATCGTGTCACCTATAGGTGCGTCTTTTCCGCATCCTGCAGGCGGTGGGAAGGGATCGGGGGGGCGGGTGGGTGGTGGTGAATGAACCTCCGGGATCTTCCGCCTCTTTTTGACCCGATGGTCTCCCACAAGGAAAGGGTTGCTGTGACACATGTTCCGGAGGAGGGGGTGCCTCCTCCTCTCCGCTGGGCTGACGGAGCTCTCTTACCTACCTCCCAAGTGCGTGGTTCAAGCACTGCAGGCGTGAGCCGCGTCTTGTCATCAGCCTTCACTCTTGATGCGTTTTTAGTCGTAGGATATGAAAAACAAACCCAAACAAACATTTCCCACCTTTGGAGCTGCAGAGATATTGAATCTGCTGCAGTAATAAAGGTTAAATATAAAGAATGCAATAAATTTATTTTTTTCCCATGCCAGCAAGCATAGTTATAAAAAAATCACAGAAAATGAAATAATCTAGTCTGTTAAGAAAGAAACAAAACCAAAAAAACCCATGCACGATTGTTAAAGAAATGCAGCCAAGGCCAGCAGTCCACAAGGGTGCATTTGTGAAGAACAGAAAACATTTAGGAAGTAGCAACTAAGTTGCATTGATTATCTTTGTTTTCAGCTATGGAATGGCTAAAAAGAGAGAATCATTGATGTATCACCTTGAGAAAATGGGTCATTAATGGCTTCTCTTTTTTCCTTTCAATTACATTGCAGCTTTGAAAAAATAAGGTGGTGTGCAGAGGCCTAGACTTAACATCAAACTTACTTTCTGGTTAGGCAATTTTAATAGAAAGGTGGTAATTATTCACAGAAATATTGCCCTTGAAAAGCCACTTGGATGTGACTCCAGAGGAAAAATCACATCCTGAGAACTTTCCAAAGTGGTTAATGGCTTCAGGTGCCTGATTTTAGGCTGTTTCAACATTGGGAATGAAAGTGAGTAGGACTTGACCTGACTGCAGTGAGAGGGACACCAAGCAGTTTTTCTGTTTCATTACAGATTTTGCCCAGGTTTTTGTCTAGTATGTGGGGTTTGTTTGTGGGTTTTTTTGTTTGTTTGCTTGTTTGGTTTTTTATCACCTTGAGAAAATGGGTCAATAATGGCTTCTCTTTTTTCCTTTCAATTACATTGCAGCTTTGAAAAAATAAGGTGGCGTGCAGAGGCCTAGACTTAACATCAAACTTACTTTCTGGTTAGGCAATTTTAATAGAAAGGTGGTAATTATTCACAGAAATATTGCCCTTGAAAAGCCACTTGGATGTGACTCCAGAGGAAAAATCACATCCTGAGAACTTTCCAAAGTGGTTAATGGCTTCAGGTGCCTGATTTTAGGCTGTTTCAACATTGGGAATGAAAGTGAGTAGGACTTGACCTGACTGCAGTGAGAGGGACACCAAGCAGTTTTTCTGTTTCATTACAGATTTTGCCCAGGTTTTTGTCTAGTATGTGGGGTTTGTTTGTGGGTTTTTTTGTTTGTTTTTTTTTTGTTTGTTTGTTTGGTGTTTTTTTTTAACTAAGCAGTAAGCTGTATTCCTTCTGGAAGAGGTGTCCCTGGTTTCTGCCTGCAAGGTGTGTTCCACCGTCTCCCTCCATGCCAATTTCTTTTTAAAGATTAATTTTACATTGTTTCTCGGTGGCTATGTTTATTTAATACTTTACTGTGTGGAGAGGAGGGCTGATGTCAGTTGAGATATTTCTTTGTATATCCAGCAAGATGAGCACAGTCCTTAAACGGTCAGTTTAAACATTCTTTACACAGGAAGAGAGCCAACAAAGAACAACTTCTTTGGTGCCCTGTTCTTTCTCTTGAGTCGCAAATGCTACCTTTGAGTCTGCCCTTCAAAAGGAGGAGATGATGGTTTCCTGGTATTAAGGGTCAGAAAACATTTAGTTCCTCATTCTTGCAGCGAGCTTACTCCTAGTTCAAGTTACCACTCTGGCACGTTGCTCGTAAATCCTGGCTTTTTAAGAGAATTTCACCTCTCTGAGGGCTTGTCGCAAACTGTGTGAGGACTTGCCACTGCTCTGAGTGCACTGGGATGTCCCTTGTCCCTGCTTGGAGAACCTGACACAGGCTGTAATTCTGTGGACAGTGTTAGGGAAGGATTAGGGGTGGTATGTATGTTCTTCCTGGTTTTTGTCTAACTGAGGAGTTTTTAGTTTCTTTGTGCTTTTGCTTTTTTTTTATTTTTGCTTTCTTTATTCTGAGGTATTCTGCAGAAGAAGAATTCCACAAGCAAATCACCATGCTTTTAATAGGTTTCTTTTAATTAGTATCCTTTAATGTTAATATCTTTCAGTATTTAATATTGTGTATCAAGTGCAGGGGTGCAAGGCACTTTGGGCAACCCAATGAAGTGCAGTTCATGTCCTATAGTGCTCCTTTGGACATTTTAAGGACAATAAATGACATTTCCTTTGGAGCACCTTAATAATTTAATTTCAAGTGACTGAGAGCATTCTGCTTCCCAGAACTCTGCATTTGGAGGCAAACGTAAGCTTTTTAGGAAAAGCATAAAAGTCAGCGTTAACTCAGATTCAGGCTTTTCCATTGTTGATCAACCCTTAAAAGACCATTCGGAGCTCTTAGGTCAGAGTGTAGGCATTGGTTTTATACCAATAAACTTGTTAAATTTGCCACATTTTTTCTTTTTTTTTTCTTGTAAGGTGACCATACAAATTTCTACAATTTCTACTCCTAGTTCTACGATTTTTGCTGGGGAATGCATTGTAGCAAGGATTTACTGCTGGGTGATGTTTCACTTTTTTTTTTCCTTTTAATTGAATTACTGAGTTTTCCCCTGCTGTGCTCTGGTTTCAAAGATGGATTGCAAGTAGTAAGGTTAATTTAGTTGGTTTTTCTCCCCCTTTCATTCTGCAGAATGTAGCAAGAAACTGTGCAAAAAGCAGAGCACTGATTCACTGGAACCACAGTTGTCATAATTTGCATTGGTGACATGGTTATTTAGCCTTGGTATGCCAATTTTCCAACAGTGACCCTTACTGGAAAAGGAAATTAGATGACTCACATCCACAATTCAGCTAATTGTGAAGTATTTGAGCGCTTAAGGAGGCGGGTCAATTCAGAACATCTGTATCAGAGTTACAGAAGAAAATAATGTAGTTCAGGCAACCGATGTCAGTCTTTCTAAATGGAAACAAAACTTCAATTTGTTTTTGTACACAGTTAATTGGACTCTGTTTCTGAATTAGTTTCTGCCTTGAAGTTGCAGCAGGCTGTGTAACAGATACAGTAATTCTCGAGCCCTAATGCTTGAGAAAAGGCTGTTCATCCTTATGGGATGAGAAGAGGGAGGCAGAATGGGAGTCTCCCTGGGAAGCTTCAGCTGGCAGAGACAGAACAGCCTTGTTAGGCTGGGGATGCACTCACTCGGGTTTTGTGTTTTCTTGTGTCTCAGTTCTCCTTTTGTGAGGTGGAGTAAATCCATGTCATTCTGCCTGACTTTGATTGAAATGCAGCATCTGCAATAGTCTGCGTGCGTAACTTGGGAAAACCAGTACATTTCTAACTGTGGAAGATGCGATTACCCTAATTTGCTGTGTCTCAATTTAGGTGTTTTTAAGCACATGCTTTCTCCATAGACAAGGTAAAAAATACTGTGATGTTGAACTATATCCCATTTCTCCTCCCCATCACTATCAGGGACTTCAGTTCACTCTTTACTATGTATTTGGATGCTCCAGCATATGTAATAGACTGCCAATGATAGGAAAATAAATTAGGAAGATTATTCATTGGGAAAGAACTTCTAGAAATGTAAGTGGTCTCTAGTTAATGAGCAGAGGATTTATATTCCAGTACTGGTCTTCATATTTTCTATAATAAATAAGTTAAACTGCATACAGAGCCTGTTGTGTAATGCTTGTATTCAGACACGGGCTAATCTTACAGGGAATGTAAGCTTCTTGTCTAGAAACAACTGAGATTTGGATTTGAAGCTATTTAAAAAAAATGTTCTAAGCTTTTTACTAGCCTGGGAAGTAAATATAAGCTTGCACAATTTGTAACTGTAACTTGCATCCTAGAGCATTCGGGTTTGCGTTCACTGTATTCTCAATCAAGAAGCTACTTGGAGCTGACAGCACAGTTGTGAGTTGCTGATTCCTCAGCTCAGTGGGCTTAATGCTCTTGCAGGTTCATTTACTCTGAAACCAAGATGGAAGGAGAGCTTGAAAAATGCTGTTCTGACTCAAGAGGCTCTTTCCTGGCAAAAAAAAAACCAAGATGACTTGGCCTAAACATGCAAAGGCACAGTGAGATTAATCACTTGGATTACATTTAGGAGTTCATTTTTCTGTGGGTGTGTACTTCATGGACATGTGCTTACTAGGGTACAGTGTTCCCTCTTCTAGCTCTGTGGTCTCTGCTGTACCTATACACAG